TATTATTATTATTACTACCATTATTATTATTATTATTTTTTTGTAGATTTTAATTTGTTCATTGAATTACAATTCAGTCAACCAAGCACGTCGAGTTGGAAAATCCCCAGAACGTGGACAAGGAACCCGGTTGCTAATAAGATGGACACACTTGAATTTATTTTGTAAAATTTAACCACACTTTAAATAAAATATCTTCTTTTTAACTTTAAGCAGTAAAAGGACTGCTAATTTTAAAAGTACGTATTCACACACGGTAACATGCACAAAAACATGCTCATATTATTATTATTATATTTCAAATTCCTAAATTTGGCGTAACATTTTTTGGCCTACTTTAGGGCTATGGTTTTTATCGTTAGGGTTGGTTCTTAGAACTATTTCAAAGTACAGTAATGCTATTTGTACATTTTATTTGACATCATTGTTATTATTGTGCCACGTGTCGGCACATGATCGGACAGTTTTTGAATTCAACACACTTTCCCGCCAAAATATTTTCAAATTTGCACACAATGTCATCCAAGTTGTCATCTATGAAATGTACAAGAAACTTTATTCTTCAAAGTATTTAAATTTTAAAACAAGCTCTCCTTGTTAATGTGGTAATCCCACAATAGCAATATCAACTATAACTACAGAACCATTGTCTATGATCATTGACACACATTTACCTACGTAGATTAACCACTTTCATGTTAGATTTTGTAACCCAAATTAGGTTGAATTTTTTGAAAAGTATTATTTCCTTATTTTCACATGATTTTATTGAAAAATATTGTTTTATTTATTTCACATGATTTTATTGAAAAAAATATTATTTCTTTTATTCCACATTATTTTTTATATTATTTTCATCTTTATGTTATTTTTAGGGTCTTATATGCCTCTATAAATATGTGGCTCTTTTATCAGTTTACGTGAAGCATTATTATTGAAGTTGTATTATTCTCTCCTATTGGTTGTTAATAAAACGCTATGTTCCTCTGCTAATTTCTTTTTTTACTTTTAATTTTGTTTTTGTTTTTGTTTGTGCAATCATATACTTCACATTGTGTCAACAACCTCCCCGATTTCCCCAACAAGTGGTATCATAGCTATGGTTTAGTGTTTTGTTTGAGGTTTCTGTTATCGATGGTAGCCATGAAGTATGATATTCTGCTTTTGAATCGCAATACAAAGTTTTCGTTGTGGCAAGATGAGAGTAGTGTTGGCATAGATGGACTTAAATGATGCGTTGTTAGGGTTTGGTAAGATGTCCACAACTTGGACAACAAAGGAGAAGCAACTGAGGGATTGGAAGGCTCTTTCGGAAATACATCATCTTTCTAACAGCATTTTTCATGATATATTGAAGGAAAAGATAGATGCTATATTATTTTTGAAACTGGAGCAATTGTGGATGACAAAGAGTTTGACAAGCAAGTTGCATCCAAAGCAAATGTTATATTTCATCGTATGGCAAAAGGAGGATCATTGGAGGATCATTTGACCGTGTTCAAGGAAGTCGTAGCTAATTTGGAAACGTTAGAGCTAAAGTATCAGGAAGAGGACTTGGCCTTGATCTTGTTGTGCACACTACCCGCTTCGTATTCATCCTTCAGGGACACGATTTTGTATAGTTGTGACACACTTACCATTGATTGATGCTTATAATGCTTTATTCTCAAAAGAGGAGATGAAGCATCTCTTTGGAGTTGGATCTAGAGATGAGGAAGCTCTGGTTACTCATGGTGATCGACAAAGGCGTAAGTTGAGGGTAAACTTTAGTTATCAAGTCTGCTTCTATTACAAGAGGAAATGATACATCAAAAAGGTTTGTGACAAGTTATAGGGTAAAGATAATTCAACTACAAATCGTGGAAGGCAATTAGATCATTCGGACGAGACAAACATTGTCGAGGACTTTTCTGATGGCGGAGATGTGATGTTGACTTTATCTGACCTGGAATTCAAGCCTGATGAGGAGTGGATTTTGCATTCAGCGTCTTTGTTTCATATGTGTTCCAATAGGGCCTGATTTGAAACATATGAAACAGTGAAGCAGGGTATTGTTGTCATGGAAAACAACAAATCTTGTAGAATAGCTAGAATTGGGAGGGTCAGATTGAGGTTGTTGGATGGGACAGTAAGAACACTTAGTTAGGTTCGACATGTTTCAAACTTAAGGAAAAATCTCATCTCGCTAAGTACCTTGAATTCGAATGGGTACACGTTCTACACTGGAGGTGGAGTCTTGAAGGTATGAAAATGTGTCCAGGTTGTACTGGAAGGACGGAAGAAGTCTTAGTTGTACATCTTGCAAGGGAGTACAGAATCAGTGAAGAAATATCTTGACAGGTTCAGTACTGTGATGGATATACAGTTTGGCACAATACCTTTGGGGTTTGATTTTGAGTCATTGAAGAACACTACTCGAGAGTGTTCTGGTGATATGGGTAAGTCCGCTTTACCACCATCATTCGTGGTTCCATCGTGGTCATTTGTTAGGGAAGAACTCATAGAGAATAGGTACAGTGTTGTAGATATTGGTGTTCATGCTTTTAAGGACTTTGAAGGTGTGAAGTCTAGCAATGGCATTTCAGTCAAAGCACTTAGTGTGGATTATGCTACAAGGTGTGTTTCAACCATGTTTGGTAAATCTTGAATTCCTTGTGGAATTTTGGGAACTCAGGGTTGGGTTCATGTATCATTTGTGGATATTGTGGAAGAGGTAGAGCATTTTTTCGTTTGGTGGAGAATTTTGATTTTGAATGAAGAGATCAATTTTGAAATTAGTTTTGACCTATTTTCAACTAGATTGTTTAAATTAGTTTTGAAAAAAAAGTCCAAATCGAAACCAAACTGTTTCATCATATGCAAATTGAAATAAAAATAACAGTTTTGTTCGATATCAAATCAAATCATTAATAAATAGATTGTAGCACCACACATATTCACAATATTTGTATTTGCTGAAGCTTAGTGATGTTAATGAAGAGCAATAAGTTATCCTAATCACTCCCTGTATAGGCTAAAGGGCACAATAGTTATGTACTTTGAGAAGTTGATCATTCTGTCTGCAATAAATAACACTTCTATAATATATTAAAAAATTAGATAAATGAAAATTTATTTTAATTAGTAAAAATAATTTTGGATTAATTTTATTTTCTTAAACAAATAAATTTCATCAGCACTATAAACTAATTAATAGTAATTTAATTTGCCTAGTCAACTATGACATTTTATAGACAACTCGAGTTTATTATATACTAAGTATAGAATAAAAATAACAATTCAGTTGCCATGCTACGCTATTTGACATGTCTACTCGTAATGAATGTTTGTGAAGATGGTCTTTTGGTACTAAGAAATGGGGAAAAATACTAATTCTCGGTTTGGTACTAATTAAAATCTAGATTTTAATTTAAGTCAAAATTAATAATGAATTTTAATCACCTATTTTATAGGTTCTGCAACTTTTTAATCAAACATTTATTAACTGCTATCAAAATTTACTAAAAATTTAATTTCAATCACCATGAAACAAGGATAACTTATGGTCAAAATGAAGTTTGTCTCCAACCAATTTTTTTTTATTAAATAAATTATGACCATTCAACCATGCAGAATAAATCTAGGGCTCTAAAATATCTTCTAGGCAAATTTAAATAAAGTCGACGAAGAAGGTTACAAATTTTTGTCAACTTTGCCTACTTCGACAAGAATGTCTAAATGTTTCGAAATTTATGAAAAAAATTAAGAGAAAGATTGTCTAGATGGATTAGGAATTCTCGTCAACTTTGCATATTGTAACAAGAATGTTTAGATGATTCGACATTTATAAAAAAAAAAAAAAAAAAAAAAAAAAAAAAAAAATTTAAAAAAAAAAAAAAAAAAAAAAAAATGAAAAGAGTGTGTCTAAAAGGACTAGGCATTCTTGACAAGTTCGTCTAATTTTCAAGAAAGCCTACAAGGTTTCAAATTTGTTAAAAAAAGAAAGAACGAGAGCTAAATAAATTAAGCATTCTAGTCAACTCTGTCTATTTGAATCAAAATCCATTCGAAAAAGAAAAAAAGGAGAATTCAGTAACACTTTTTGAGTGAAGATATATTTTTCAATTAGAAAGTTTGTGTTTTCCATTTGGCTTACTTTTTGGTTAGAAATTGAAAAAATGTTACGCCTTTCTTTCTCAAACTTCCTCAAGTACCAAGGATTTTGAGGTTACAATCTTTTTGACCAAACTATGCCTAAAATTATTACAATAAGGTTGTATTATTTTCAGAAATGTCTCTAAGATTTGACATTGAAAGTCATAGAAAGGAAGATTGGATACACAAATTATTGAGGTAGTAAGCTCTAGTGCTCCTAATGTAGAACTAGAACGGCTTCTACCGTGAAATCCGCGATCAAACATGGGTACCTCGCCTTTCAAAAAAAAGTGGCTGCTAATTATAGCACTGATGCTAATGGGGACAATCGATCAAGAAGGACTTCAAAGACTGCAATCCTATTGAGAAAAAAATAGAACAAAAATATAGGGCCAAGGGCCAACTCTTTTAGTTGTGCTCCTTATTACGCTAATCAATCAGATGATGAAGGTCGAATCTAGTAGGGTTGCAGGCATGAATTGAAATAATATTTGTCACTTCCAACCTGAGCATAGAAAATCTGATGACGAAGATAAAGTACCAATTTTGGATCTTATGGCGTCGACGGGTTGGCAAACCTACTACATCCAAAAATCCATCTCTATGATTTGGATATATTTTAAGTCGTTAAAATTATAATATGATAGAAATAAGTGATGGATAAATAAGTAATAATTATGAATTTTATGAAATATATCGTTAAGATATTATTTGACTTTGACCATTAAATGATAAAAAAAAAATTATAATATTTTTCAAACATGCATAAAAAGAAAAAATTAGAAAAAAGAACTTTCACATATTGTTTTCGGAAGGGGAAATATGAGTAAAAGAATCAAGTAAATAAACATATTATTAAGTATTAATGAAGAAATTTTAGAATTTTGGCCTGACCAAACAACGTTAAATTAAAGATCACTTGTAATATGTCGATTGTGTATTGCTTCAAACACGTTTGATACAAAATATTTAACATAATTCAACTATCAAACAAACACTAAATTTGGATCTTCGAATAGATAAATAGGGTGATGAAATAAACTCTCATTCGATTCTAAATTGAATTAACATTGAAAAGTGTTTTAATCAAGTGATAAGCGATCAAATTTGAGCCAATATTTGAGAGGCTAAATAAAATTATTTTAGTGGAACCAAGGCCAAAGACGCTCTGATTTCCATGGAGATATTTGAGGTATACTTGGACTGAGAAATTAAATTGGATCAGAATTTCTGTACATGTAATTTGACAAATTGAATTTCACAATTTCAAATTAAATGACATGCATGCATTTGTCAACTTATATGTACAAGAACATCTGTACAAATAGAATAATTCATGAAATCGAATGATTAACCTAATTAAAGTTGAAAAGTGAATATATATGAAATATTTACGTGAAATTATGAAGTATCTATTCCCTTGTTGGTAGTTTCAAATACTCGCGATGACTATATATATAAAGGATTGATTAATTAAGGGCTTGTTTGGAAGCGATTTTTCCTTCCAAAAAATTGATTTTTTGATTGTTATTTTATTATTCCAGTCGTCATATTTGACTTCTTTTCTCACAGGTGGATCTCACTTTTTTCCTAACGGTCAAAAAATCAATTTTCAAAATCACTTCCAAACAGGCTCTAAATTAAGATTTGAGCATGTTCGATTTACAATTTTCTGTTGGATCTATCTCATTCTCGGTTGACCAAACCTATTTATAAACCAAAATTTAGATTTAATTCGGATTAATAATCTACTTTATTTCGTTTTATCTTTTTTCCCCACCGAATAAATTCCCCTTATCGTTATAATTTATAGTTTATTATTATCGTCCATAAAGCATTTTGCGTTGAAGTTACGCATGAATGGTATAAATTATAGGGTTAACACAAAGTTTACATGCATTTGTGTAGTTTTGCTCTTAAGTTAAAGATGGGAGACGGAAGGGATAAGCATTATAGTGAGAATAAAGGGATATTTTGTCATCTTCCTGCATATGCCGCAGGAGCTAGTCATCATCCTCCAACCCAATGGGGTTACCACAACCCTCCGCCATCTGGCTATCCTCCGCCGCCGTGTGGATACCCACCGGCAGGTTATCCTCCTCCTGCTTTATACCCGCCATCTGCATGTCCGCCACCAGGTGGATACCCTCCAATGGCCGGTTATCCTGGTCCGTATCATTCAGGTACTTTTCTTTTCACTAATTATTAAGAATAATTCTTGTGATAAATAATTGATGATAGATAATAATTCTTGTGATAAAATATATTCTTGGAGGTCATGGAAATCACTTGGGAGGACTGTTGGCAGGAGGTGGGGCAGCTGCTGCCGCAGCTTATGGAGGTCACCGTTTGGCATACGGTGGCTACGGCCACCACCATGGTGGTTATTATGGGCATCACCACGGAAAGTTCAAGCATGGAAAATATGGAAAACATTGGAAGCATCATGGCATGTATGGGGGAAAGTTTAAGAAGTTTAAGAAATGGAAGTGAAATGATTGTGCGGCCTAATTAGTCACTGTTTGGTCAAAATTTTCACTTTTTGCTTCGTAAGTTTTGGGAACTGTGGACCTAAAATTACTGGCTTTTTATTATTATTATTATTATTATTAGAGGAATGAAAATCAAACAAGTGCTAAAAAGCCGAATAATTCGTACTAGAATTATTTATTCCCTGCATTTATAAATTTGTAGCTCTACACGTGCTTTTTCATGATTTCTTTTTTATGGGGGTCCTTGTTGAAAATTTATGAAATTAAACTTTATAAATTTTACATAAAGATCTCCATGTCAAATCACCAAAAAAAAATATATTTAATGCGAAACATACCTTGATCCATTTATTTGTATCTTGAATATTGAATTATGATATTTGAATTTTGTCTTCCAGATTTTTGAATTTTTCTTCTTGATTCTTAAATTATCCCTTATGTAGGTTTTTGGATTTTTCTCTTCAATATGCTTTTTTCCTGGACTTTTGCGTTGATGAGATGACATAAAAAAAATGAGAAATTACATATAAATTAGGGACCATAGCCTTATATATAGTTTGAGATCAATACATAAATCCTAGTTATAAAGATTGCATTTCATAAATAACAAACTCACTAAAATATTTTAAAAATCGGGTGGTAAATAAATTTATTAAATATTAAATTATTATATAATATACATTTATTATTTCCACCCCATGCCACCTCACCCTACTACACCACCTTCCCTCCACTTCAGAGATGGCCATTGACTTCAGCGACCACTCCATCTTACTCTACCCCACTCCAGCAATCTAAGAAATTCAAATCTCTCTCCCCCACTCTGGCAGACCCAACCCTACCCTACTTCTCACTGTAGAAAACTCCAATATCCAGGCCACATAAAATAACGCCAAAACAAAAACACCATCGACTAAACTTTCAACTCCTAATATCATAATTTCTGAATGATTTTCACCAAGTTCAAGCAAAAGAGCTTATCAAACCCATTCCACCATTAGATAATTTTCCATTTATCTAAGTCCAAACAAGTTGCAACAAAATCCAACCAATAGACAAACTCCAGTAGATTTGCTCTAGATTCAACAAATGGCCCTAGATTCGTCTGGCACGAAATCCATGCGGCGATCACTTTTATCCTTATATAGCTTCAAGAAGCCAATGTATGGGCCCTTTTGGTTTGGTTTTCCACTGCAACGAGGATTTCGGTGCAACTAAAACCGTTTGTTTCGAGATGATTAACTGTTTGTTTTGCGGTCATCTATGTTTCCTCGACGTCACCACCACTGGAAATCTCTTCTAGTGACCTCCCTTTCATCTTAGTCACATGGAAGGTACAGAAAAATCCAAGCCTAGTGGGAAAAAGCTCCGTCGGCAGTACAAAGGTTGTTGAGTTGGGGCCGAAGTTAGCGAAGATGAACGCCAGCTTGTAAAGAACTGCAAAATCCCATTCTTTTCATTTTTGGAGTAATCATATTTGGGATAAAGGACAGTTTGGGCAACTGGTGATGCTAAAAATGAAATTGATTTTGTGGGGAGGGTTAGGGTTGGGGTTGGGAAGACGGTGAACATGTAGATTATGTGTAATTAAAATTTTATTCATTATAATTATTAAAATCTAATTATCACCTGATTTGTAAAATCAAAATTAATTCCCTTGTTTTTAAAAATTGGTCTTTAATTGTAGGTTTCTAGGTAATTTTGTCATATAGTTTCCACATGTACTTGTCCATTATGAAATACAATTCTAAAGGAATCCAATCTCTACACATATAACTCAATCTATACTTTATTTAGATGCCCTAAGCCAAATTACTTATTTTTTATTAGATCACTTTAATAGCTTTAAAATATCCTTTATACACAATTAATTACATATGTCGGCTCACGCGGTATCAAAAGTTTTCTTTTAGGATAATTAATATTTCAAACTAAATTAATTAAAGCAACTTGTTACCAAAGTAACATCTCTTGTATAAATTAATTTATTTGAAATATTAGGAAGGCTGTGTATTCGTAATTCACGTGGATATTCACTGGCCAAAGGGAGATAAATGTTTGGCTGTAATAAATATGTGATAATTGTAAAGTTTCTTATGTAAACAATATATTGATCCAAAATAGGTTTATTGTTTGACATAGTTTATTATCAATATTTTATTATTACACCAAGAGTGCCACTTATAAGTTGGTATTTATATCCAAAAACTAAATATCAATGTTGTGCTTGATATTTCGTGATGGGGATTACCATTATTTGAATTTATTAATCGTTTAACATAGATTCTAATGTAAACATGTTTCTTTGGTTTTGTTCTCTATTTGATTAACTCTTCTGCTTTTACAATATTTGTCAACATCAATTCAATTCCTTTGCTAAATGGAACCGACTTTGAGCACTGAAAAGAGAATGTTCAGATTGTTCTTGGCTGCATGGCCTTAGACCTTGCGTTAAGGACTGAACAACCCGCTACACTTACGGATAAAAGTTTCGACAACAAAAAATGAGATTTCGATAAGTGGGATTGTTCAAATTTCATGAGTCTTATGATCATGAAGCTTGGTATTTCAGAATCATTTGCGGCATTGTGTCATATGAGGTAACTACAACCAAAGAATTTCTTGATGAAATTGAAAAACGTTTTGCGAAAAGCAATAAGGTAGAAATTAGTACGCTTCTGACAAACTTAGTTTCACTAAAGTATAAAAGTAAATGAAGTATTTGGGAGTACATCATTGAGATGTCTCATATTGTTTCAAAATTGAAGGCATTAAAGTTTAAGCTGTATGATGATTTGCTCGTGCATTTGGTTTTGATTTTTCTTCCTGCACAATACAATCAATTCAAAGTCAGTTACAGCTGTCGAAAGGAGAAGTATATTCTAAATGAGCTTATTACATACTGTGTGCAAGAAGAAAAAAAGACTAAAATAGGACAGGACTGAAAGTGCTCGCTTGGCTAGTACTTATGAGGACAAGATTAAAAAAAGAAAGAATAAGGAAGCTACACTTGATCTAACTCGAAAGAAAAAAACAAAAGTCTAAAAAGGATGAATCTGGCTATTATTTTTGTGGAATCTGGGACACTTGAAAAGGGATTGTACCAAATACCACACTTGACGCGTGAAGAAAGGTACATATCTCTCTTTGGTTTGTTTTGAAGTTAATTTGGTTTCAATACCTAGACGTAGTTGGTGGATTGATTTGGTGCCACTACCAATATAAGTGTGTCTATGGTTGTCTGAACAGCTGAAAACCAAATGATGAACATTAATCTTTGTAGATGACGGCAAATCAATTGAAATTGAGGTTATAGAGACTTTTAGATTATTATTAAAGACTGATTTTTATTTGGATTTTAAAGAGACTTTTGTTGTACAGTCTTTTAGATGAGATTTGGTTTCTATTTCTGTATTGGACAAATTTGGTTATTCTTATTCATTTGGAAATAATAATTTTAGTATTTTTCTTGATTCAAATCTTGTGGGTATTCATTCTTTATCTGGATACGATAATCTATACTTGTTTAATTCAATTACCTCTTTTAATGAAATCTTGCATGTGAATTCATGAGATATTAAACATAAATTAATCAATTAGATTTTTGCTTCATTATGTCACAAGTATTTTGGTCACATTTCTAGAAGGATGATCGAAAAGCTTGTATCAGAACGAATTTTTGATCCCCTTACTTTTTTAGATTTAAGTGTTTGTGTAAATTGTATTAAGGGAAAAAAAAGAGATTAGCTTCTAATAGAACTTCATACATCTTAGAACTAATTCATATGGATATCTGTGGGTCATTCTATTTGGCTTCTTGAAATGATCAATAATTATTTATTATGTTCATAGACAATTATTCTCGCTATGGCTACATATTCTCATTCATGAGAAATCCCAATCATTAGACATACTCAAGGATTATAAGTTTGAAGTTGAAAACCAACTCTGCAAAAGAATAAAACATATTAGATCTGACCGTAATGGTGAATATTATGGTAGATATAACGGATAAGGAAAGAGTCTTCCAAGGCCTTTTGCTAAATTCCTAGAGGAATATGGAATTCCATCGTATATCATGTCAGGTTCTCTTGGCATGAATGGTGTTACTAAAAGAAGAAACAGAACACTTAAGGATATGGTAAAAGTATGAATAGTCATTCTACCTTACCAGAATCTCTTTGGGGAGAAGCATTAAAAATTGTAACTTATATTCTCAATTGAGTTCCTAGTAAAGCAACTGTCAAAACCGCTAATGAACTTTGGACAAACAAGAAGCCTAGTTTGAAATACTTACACATTTGAGGTTGTCTAGTTGAGGCAGGGCCTTATAGGTCCAAGGAAAAAAATGGATTGCAAAACTGTTAATTGTTATTTCATTGGATACTTTGAGAGGTTAAGGGGTTTCAAATTTTATGATCCCACTGCAAAGTAAATTTTTGAAACGAGAGATGCCTCGATTCTTTAAGGATACAGAGTTTGTAGGGGAGATATGATTAGGGATTTTATCTTTGAGAAAGAATATATAAATATTCCTTTTGTTGCAATTGATTATGATTTGGACCAGAGATAAATTTTTGCTCCACAACTTATTTTAGAAGCAATTTCGGATCAAGACAATATTTTAGAACCCCTTATAAAAAATCACAAAAATTATTCTAAAAGAACAAACCCAACAACTTCAAGAACAAATGCCATTAAGGAGATCCACTAGAGAAATGAGAAATGCAATTTCAGATGACTTTATAGTATTTTTTCACGAACATGATATTATTGGATTGATGGAAGAAGATCCAAGCAATGCAAAGTGATAATTCTCAAAAGTGGATTGATGCTATGAATGATGAAATAAAGTTCATGAAAGACAATAACATTTGGAAACTTGTTCCATAGCCTGAAGGTACGAAACCCATTGATTGCAAATGGATACTTAAAACCAGGGGGAATTTGAAGGGTAATGTGAAAAGATATAAGGGTTAAAGGGAATGCATTGATTATAAAGAGATTTTCTCTCCAATTTCAATGAAAGACTCTTTTAAGATTATAATGGCATTTGTGGCATGTTTTTATCTTGAACTACATTAAATGGAAGTAAAGACGGTGTTTCTCAATTGTAACATTGATGAGATGACATATATGGTGCAACTAAAAAATTTTATGTCAGACGACCCAATGAAAATGGTTTGCAAATTAAAGAAATTCATTTATGGACTTAAGCAAGCTTCCTGTCAAT